CATCGTAGTAGACTGTATCAAAGGCTTTGTTAAATTTACAAACGTGTGCTTAGCCTCTAATTTTCATTCTTTATCATGCGGACAGCGACGTCTGTGGTCGATAAGTCTGCGGTTGCATTAAAGTCTGCATTAACTTTGTGGCAGAAGTCCTGGCTCCAGGTGAAGGTTCCGGCTATTGCATGGGATGCAAACGAAAACTTGGCATAATGTTGACGGGGGAGGTATTTCTGTTATTGTCAAGGAGTCGGCGGTTCCTCCTGCATTTGTCTGTGTTATAGCCCAGTTGTTATAACCCGACTAGTTGGCAGGAGAAGGCAAGAGAGCGTGTCTAATGGCAACGGCCCTACTGAACGCCACACGAAGACATCGGGGTTTGCGGGGTTCTTTAGCTTGTCCACTTCGGCGTATTTATAAGGTTCTGGCCTTTATAGAACAGTCCTGGCGTATGGTATGTGAACGGCCATTCTGAAAATATCTAGGCATCGGTCACTTCCCACGCTGTGTGGGCGGTCGTCACGTTTGCCCGAAGCATGGTTTGAGCGGCTTGTATGCGGGCATGACCCAACTGGCCTGTTCTTTTCGTCGGCGGCTGTGAATGCATGCAGGGCCCCGCCTCCGCACCAGTACGCATGGATGGATAATGGTGGCACCTTTGATATCGTAGAAGAGCGAGGGGGGTTTACTCGTGAACTGGGAGCCGTTGTGCTTGTAAAGTTCGGTTACCAGAAGGTCGGTTCCGCGTGTTTCATTGCTGAATATCTGGTGGCTAACTTGGGTCACCTCTTGTAGCCTGCCCGACTGGTCGAAGGCTGCAGTAGTTTGAGATCTGTTAATGACTTCATGGGGTCTTATAGATGCCTTTTAGAGGCTGCTTGAAAAAGTCTTAACACCGACAAATACGCCTTCTTCAATTGTAAGCTTCAAAGGCGTAATTCGTGACCAACTGCGTACAAGAAATAATATGTTTTGTATAAATTATATAAGGGCACTGAAAATCAATCGGACAAATCCGTACTACTTAAGTATTCACTTTTTACCGAGTGTGGTTTATGTAGGCAGTCAGGAGGAAGCTCAATCAAGAGCCGCCGTTCTGGCGTGACTGAAATTTCTTGGGATTAGGCTTAACACTAATTAATGTTACAATCCTACCTGAACAATACGTTCTAATCAAAAACACATTTTGGGCGTTCCAGTTAAGCTTATGAGAACGTCAACAGCTGCATGTATTCCGAAATCATTTGCCTAAGCTAATGCCTGATGTTTTCTCGCTACCGATAAGTTGGCCTGTTTTCTTCTTTTACGTACACAAGGCCAGTAAGTCCGCTGTACCTGCCGCACGCTTATTCGGACGCCCATTTTTCTGAAAGTAACATTCCCTTTCAAAATGGCATTGGAAGAGGAAAAGACCACTGGTATGGCAGGATAATTCCGCTGTAATGGGCTGCCAGGCTAGATTTGTGCCGCCCCAGTCTTTTTGTGCCAATCCAACAAGGAGAATAATGAACGAGGTCGTAAAGGAAAGGAAGTCATTTATTGCCCTTCGAACGGGGGCTATATGTTAATAAAAGTTATAGATAGGACCAATGAGATTGTGCCCTCCTGCGCCTAGCCGATTGATTCGTCATCTGGCCCCTTTGTCCTGGCCGCATTGGTTGACCTTGAAGCGTGCGCACAGCTGCGCGTGCCTTTGGATGTGCGCGGACCGATAGCGTGACCTGAGAGTTCATCCGGGCTACTCGTTAGGAATAATCCTAACGAACTCGGGCCTCAAGGTCCCATGGCACAGTTTATGTGACTCCGGGGTATCTCTGCGCTGGTGAATTCTGCAAAATGCTGGAGTGGCCAGCACGCGTGAGGCAAGCTGAAATAGGACGAATTTCCGGTCAGCCAGTTCATCCATGTCCATCTCCAACAGTCCGGTCTTTTTTCAACCCCATGAAAAGAGCGTTTAGACCTTTTTATGTATTGTATTCTCTAGAGTGCGCTGCTGGCTAACTACTTAGAGTCGTTTGAAGACGGTCAAGTCTGCAAGGCGGAAATAGGCTCCCTGAGTTTTTAAATATCCCGTTGTTTTGCAGCAGTTATATGTCTAGGTAAGCCTCTCGCTCCTCGCAGTCATCCCTCCTGACCCTTTTTTTCTTGCGTTTTAGGCGACAAAGGGCAACCAAAATCGCCATTCTTGTCACCAGAACTGCCGGCGCCCTCATATGTGTCATTAGCGCGGGTATGCTAAAGCACTTCACCAAGGCCTACTACGTATATCAGCATAAACCCGCAAACCTGCTGCTCGAGCTCTGGAGCTACTCCAAAGATCGGGCCACGTGGATCGGCAGCTTTGGTATCGGTCTTGGTCTCGGCATAACTGCCAGCTCAGGTCTCAGTGTGTGTAACCGGCTGGGCAAAAACCTTCATCTGGCTGGCCTAATCGGCCAAATGTTCCTGCCGGCTGTAGCCGGCTACATATCTGAGCGTATGTTCTACAAGAACGCCTCACAGACTCTTGGCAGGACTTCACTCATCCTCAGCGTGCTCCTCTTCTTCTCTCTGGTGGTTGATTTGGTCCTTCGTTTGATCCGGCACTTCTCCTGGTGGAAGAACTTCACGGATTTTTTCCGTTTTATGCCGGTGAAGAAACCCGCAGCCAAAGTGACAGCCAGTGCAAAGAAGAGGTTCTCTTCCGCAAATGTGGGTAGCCTTGAGGCACCTGCCGGCGGACAACAGTCAGAGCCGGCAGGCCCTTCACTAAGGGAGGTCAATTTTTCCTCCCCCTCCTCAGCAGCAAGAAGGCCAACGCTACAAGTTACTGTTGCCTCACATCCTGGTTCAGACTAACTGGTAGGAGTGGCCAGTTTGTGCCCTCCTCGTCTATCACTTCAAGTAATTCCCTCATAATTACCGTCACCTTCCAGATTCCGGTCTTCCTTGATCAATCATTTGTCTCCACTAACTTGGGCTCCCGGTCTCCCAGTCCCCTCAATCAGTCTTTCTGGCCGTGCACCCCTCACCCCGCCTCAATCTCTTGCTATTAACACTTAAGGTTCCCCTTCTAACCCACCAATTGTTTTTTACCGATTTCTTTTGACACTTTGTTTTTAGGGTCAGTCGTAGGAGGGAAGGCATTGTAATGCAAATTCGGCAATTGCTTACACAATCATGTTGATGTTATATTTATATACTTCCTGCTTTTTGATGTCGAAATTCTTGTAATCACGTCCTTCTTGTGATCCTGTATGTTCCCTTTAAATTAATAGTTAACCCGAGGTCCACCGGGCGCTCCACAACATGGTAAAATAGAAACGGTGAGGGTAAACTTGGGCTGCATCTACCACACTCGCGTGCTGCCGCTCAGATACCATGGCATGGGAGAGCGCTAGAGGTCAAATCAAGAAGAAGCCGTTGCAGCCAAACCGTCAGTCCACCAGTCGGTCACCCCACACAAACACATATTGGGCAGACGGCGAGATCGGAGTTCCATCGTCGGTTGGCAATCTTCTAAGCCAGAGCGCTTAACGCACCGTGATACTCTGCGTCTCAGGTCACACATCCAGCAGGGAACCACACAGGGTAACCGAAGATTATAATTTCCTCTCTGACTGACCAGGCATGATAAAGGCGCGTGAGGCTACGGGGGGTTTTTGCGCTGGTGGATGGAAGCGTATATTTAGGGTGTCGATATTACGGTGACCTATGATTTCGTGGATGCGCATGTGGTCGCATTGGTTCCAGGGTTGAGTGGATGTGGCTGTTTAGGGTGAGACAGGTGCTGCGAGTATATACTGGGACTCCAGACACGGGTGCACCAGTCAGTTCGATTGATTCGCAGGAAGTCAAGCGAGCCGATGCTTAAGATGCATTGGCGATCTTTGTGCGGGCAGATTGGGGTCGAGTCCCCAATGCTGGTAGTGGTGAAGGTAGCAGTTGACAAAAGTCTGAATTGGTCTCCGTGGTTTTATCGCTGGAGCTCACTGCGGTCGACACGGGGGTCATGACAGACAGGTTAGTGCCGGTGGAAGAGGGCTGCGAGGCGTCGTAAGTGCAATCACCGATGATGGGATTAGTTGTTGTCGTGGACGCCGTGTGGTTTTCCACACGGACAATAGCGGGGGGGTGAACATAATAGTTGATGCTGTTGTTGCCTTACGTCCGCTTCGCGCATGGAATGTGCGTTGACAACGCGACCGGTTCTGAGGGGTGGTGTTGTGGATCCGAGGCGCTCGTGACTC